GGGGGGGGGGATAAATAAATGGCCATCTTCTGTTTCTTCTTCTTACACAATAGACACGCCTTCCTCCCACAAGTAATTTCCATATGCAATAATATGTCTTTTTAACGTTTATTCTTTCCTCTAGCTCAGGGGCTGTAAGTGTCGCTTTTAAATTGTAATTTTTAATGTGAGTGTAGTGAAGGGTTTCTCCATCTTGGCAACTTTAAGTTTCTCGAGCTTGGCATATGCTGACTGGGGAATTCTGGGAGTTGAAGTCCACACATCTTAAAGTTACCAAGGTGGAGAAACTATGGTGTAGTGGGTAACCCTGTCCTTCCTGTCTTTCCTGATAAATTCCTCCACCCCTCCCTCTTGGCCTCACAGCATTCCTAGTCTTTTCCCTATCTGGGGACCAACTAAAATATCTCCTTGGTGCTGCAGTATCACTCTTTCACTCTTCTTGGATAGGCTGCCATTCCTTTTTTTTTTTGGTTAGGGATTTGCTGCTCCCTGGATGAAACAGAAATCCCAACTTTTCACTTTATGCTATTTGGTGGACAACAAAGGATTGTGAAATATAAAGGATTATGCATCACTGAGCAGTTCAGCCAAATGTACCCCCCCCAAAAAAAAGATTACTTAAATTTACATGTACATATGCACAAATATGTTCTTTCAGCCAAAAGATTTAAGAAAAATAAACCAAAACTCCTGCTGTTATTTCTCCCACTGGTAATTAATAGTTAAAAAGCCCCTCTTTGTCTGACATATTTTTCTGGATCATGCTCAGCTCTGTTTCAGGAGGCTTCAAACTTGCCTGGAAACAAAACAAAGCTTCAGTAGTATAGCACTGTCCAGTCAAATTTAGGACCATCAGCCATCTCCACTCTTTATTAAACCCATCAATCTATAACAGTCACTGCTGTCTAGGTCCATCTTAGTTGCCAGATACTGTACCACCTCCATTCCATTTCTGCCTCATTCCCAGTTCTTCTTCCCAAATTTCCTCTTGTAATTTAAGATTTCACCTCTGATGCCAGCCCAACACTTCAACAGCTCCTTCTTCTCCTGTGGGAAAATCTTCTTATGAGAAATTAACCATTTAATTACTTTGAGCTTCTCCTTATCAGCAAACCAATACAAAGCCTTTCTTTGGGTTTCCTGAACAGAGAAACCAACCATGCTCCTCTGTTACTTCTTCCCTACTTGCTGAACAACTGATTCTCTCCCCCTGGTTCTCCCCATCCTTTCCTGATAAGTAGAAAGAATTTAACTCCATAGTAGGCAGCAGTCATCCACACAGTGACATGTGGAAATTACTACATACATAAGGAACAGTCATATGTACGGTTGTCACTTATAATTTTAATTCATTTTAAATATCAAGTAGATTACGTCAAATTTTACTTTTGTTTTTGTTCCACTCATATGTCCTGCTTTGACTACAGTACATAATTTATGGAGTAATGCCTCCTGCACATCACTCCAAAGCCAAAGGCAGCTTGTTCTCAACTCCAAAATGTTGCACTCAGAGTATTTATTGCCTGCCAATCATCACAAAGATCTAGGCAGATCACAGGAAGAAACAAAAGTAATAACCACATGTATGTTTATCTATATGTACAAAATATTAGGACAGGAGAATATGCCTATATTTGCACACTAACAGATACCTACCCTTGTAAAATTGTTCCTGAGAATATTACAAGCATGAAGCAGTCAATATTACATCTCATTGAAACAGTCAAACAAGAAAATAGTGAGGACCTGATTTGTTGCAGGGGAGTGGGGGGAGTGAGAAGAGACATAAGAAGCAAAGAGTATTGCTGGAACGAAGTTGTAGATACTCTCCAAGGGTTCACCTGGACATTTTCAGTATATTCATCAGGAACAAATCAATGTAGGTCTTCAGATTTGTAACTTGAAAAAAATTACTCCGGTATTTGATAGTGTTTCTCTCATTCAGATCAAAGTTTTCACTTCCAAGCTGTGACTGAATAGAAGTAGACCCAGATTATTTGGTAAGATCCTGTGAAAATTAAATTAGCCCTCAATTGTATAATTCCATCCTTCCTTCTGTGTAATTTGCTTCATAGTCCCACTTTCTAGCTACGCTACAGAGTATGTGAGTTTGTGATTATATGTAGATTGCAGGAGTGGGAGTACTCTCTGGCTTGTGAATGAATTATGTCAAGACAGTCTCCCATTGATTGATCCATCCATCCATCCTTCCATCCATCCTCTCTCCAAGTCTCTTTTTCCACTTGCTGAGCAGCACTTTGTGTGGAGAAACTGTAGGGAAGAAAGGTTGAATGAAGACCGCAACTCAGCACTGGGAAAAATGAAGTATGTTCTTTAAATTAAATTGTTCAGCATAGATATTTTAATTGTTTGCCATGGATGTTTTCATTATGTGATTGCCCATAAAATTTTTAGAGTAATTAAAGCAACAACTTTATTTCTTTTTATGGTAGCTTGTGTTCCAAGGCATTTGTTAAGGAGACAGCAGAAAGGCAGAAAGGAAGAGCCGTGAAAGGGCATGGTTAACAACCAAAAGAGAGAACAGGTCTCCCAAATATATCTGGTATTTCTTGTCTAAAGAATGGTATTGCACACAACTCCATAATTAGAAATGGTACCAGTAAACCAGTTCAGTAGTGATTATAGATTTCCATTCTGTTAAACAAGATTCACTCTCTTTGAAAAGCTCTTCCTGCCCCAGAAATTTTTCATAGCCTGCAACATAGACAACTCTCTGCCAGAAATCTAATTAGCAAGCCTGAAGTCAAAATCTCCCTTTATACCCCATCTGGTGTTAGAGCATTTCATCTCAGTCTGTGTAAGCACTGAACAGATTTTAAATGGAAGCTCCAGATTTTGGACATGAATAGAAAGGTGGATTAGAAAAAAACAAGTGCAAAGGAATCCTCCAATGTTTACAGCTAGCACTTCTTTAGCACTAAATGGTAGCCCATACACTGTGGTACACATCAATCTAACTGTCTGGGGTGAATTTCATAACTTCTTCACCATTTGGATGACCAATTTCACTGGTGATGCTAGATAATCTTTTCTGCCTTTTACACAGATTTTCACTTCATGTGCTTTTCTACACTGACTACAAGGATAAAATAGATCTTAACTCACTGTGTAGGTTGTCATGATTGAGGCATATAGAGAAAAGTACTGAAGATTAATTTTTCTTCTGAAAAAAAGAGCACAATTTGTTGTTTCATGGAGCATGGAAGTCTGGCCTATTGTTCACATCTCATATAAGCCAAGCTTATTCATGTGTATTGAGATGTTTTTCTTTTCCAGATAAGTGTGTATCAGATTGTTGCCTTGATCTCTTAAGGCTGATTCTCATTCCTGTCTTTAGAAATAATAAAGCCTTCTGCACTTTCAACAGCATGAGTAGGGAAAAAAGAAAATGAAAGGAAATTCATCTTTCATATATTTTTATATTTTGTATATTGCAAAGATATGGCAAATAAGGGGTGAAGGCTGAGCCTTTGGTAGTACATTAACTCCATCTCTGGCTGAAGTGGCTTTTGGGCCCAGTTCTTGTGTTACATCTATTTTTGCCCTTAGATTATAAAATTATACACTCCAATCCAATCAATCAATTAATCTATCAACATAATCAACTGACTGATTAATACTTATTAGGTGATACATTCCAAATTAGGAAAAAAGATTAATAGGTAGAAGTTCTTTGTCCGGGAAGATAATTATTTTGTTATGAAGCCCTGGTAACTTTGTGTCATTTTCATGATAGCAATACAGAAATAATTTACTACTTCCTTTATTTGCAAAGTTTTTTCCACTTGCCAGCCTAGCCTATAGCCCTGGTATACTCTGGAGACCTTCCATCCGAATACAAACCAGGGCCAACTCTGCTTAACTTCCAAGTTCAGACAACATTGGACAGGTGCTGATACTTGCCAGAAAAAAATTGGCTTAATGGTTAAAAAATAAAAGGGAATGTTGGGTTTTGTGAGATTGTGCGGGAAACAGAAGGATTCAATGCATTATAGATAAACTGAGAAGACTGTATTTTATACTGTTCCAATTCAGTATAAAGAAGTATGTATTTTTATACCATAAATTAAATCTAATGTCTTTAAAAAATATTCTCAGCACACAGCAGTGAAAATAATGGGGTATAACTGGATTGTTGACAACTGTTTTTTCTCTTGGGGAAGCGACGTTAAATAATAAGTTTTTGTTTGTTTGTTTCAGCGTTCAGGCGGTGCCTTAGCTATTCCTCTGTGTGCATTTCAAGGAACCGTATCTCTCCAAGCCCCCACAGGAAAAACCCTCTCTTTATCTACATATGAGGTAAGCTCAGAAGGACAAAAAATCACACCCACATCCAAGAAAATTGAAGTGTATCGCTCCAAGAGCGTGGGCCATGAGCCAAACCCTGAGGACTCTCCAACCACATTTACTGACACCAATGTGAAGATTCACCTAGAGGTGCTTGAAATTTGTGACAATGAAGAAGCCATGGACACTGTTTCCATCATTAGTAATATTAGCCAATCATCTGCCCAGGTCCGTTCTCCATCCTTACGTTATTCTCGGAAGGAAAATAGATTTGTCTCATGTGATTTAGGAGAAACGGCATCTTATTCACTCTTCATACCATCAAGCAATCCCAACAGTGATCTGAACATATCCATCCCTGACACTGTGGAAGCTCACAGGCAAAATAGTAAAAAACAGCACATGGAAAAAGAGGGCTATCAGGAAGAGATACAAATGTTAAATAAAGCATACAGGAAAAGAGAAGAAGATGGGCTTGGAAACTAAATCAGAGAAAAAAGTTACTCCGAATAATTTGGCCCCTCATTCTTTAAGTTTGCTTGGACCCCAAATCATTTATTCACGGCATTTGAGAAAACAATTGAATAACATTCATGCATTCACAATAGAATCTAACAAACGAAGTAATACTTTGTCCAAAAGCTCTTTTATGCAGCACTGCTATATTCCCTGGGAATTGGGTTGCAGGGAGGGTTATTGGCTAGGACAGATTTCCCTCTCTGCCTTCTGAAGAATTCCTGTTGGAAGTTTCTTTGATGAGGCAGCTGAAATCTCTACTCTTTGAATACATTTTGCTGCACTATCAATGGACCCAAAAATGAGGCATTTGAAGGGTGTGTTAGGAAGACTCTGAATCTTGGATTGAAAATCGGGATAAAAGGACTGAAGCCTCCCAGCCAACAATCTCAGGGGGACCATGAGTTACCTCAGACCCTCAGTCTTCATTTTTTTTTTAAATAAAAAGCTGATTTCTAGCTTTTATGGAACTGGAGATGGGAGCCAAAATGAAGTTGGGCACAACCTTATACAGGTTTACCCACCATCTTCATGGATACTTCCCTGCAATGCTCTTGGCAATAGTATGGAAATGGTTTTGACTTCTCCACCTAGCCTACGCCTCTGGCATTCTCTGATGGCATCCTATCCAATTACTAACCAGACCTGACTCTGTTTAGTTTCCAATAACTAAGCAGCCCTATTCAGTCTATTCCTTTCATGAGAAAGGAGTTTACCATCATCTTTCAGTGCATTTTGCCAGCATAACAATAGCCATGACTGACCATTTATGAGCAGTGTTAAGTGTAGAGATTAATGCAAAATGACCACTTGTTTACAGAAGGAACTTCTTGGTCATTTTAACCCAATGTTCTTATTACCCTCCCAGACTAGTACTTAATGACCATTGAAAAGAGTCATATTTTGCTTTCAAGAAAGCACATAAGCTGTTTTTTCACTAATACAATATATAGAGTGGAAAGGCTTTTGCATTGTTGAATATTAAAGAACTTTTTTTTTTCAGTGTGTGCATGTAAAGCATACACAAATATTATAGATGTCATGGACAAAGTAGGAGAACCAGCGTAATCCACTAGCTTCATCATGAACTGGATCTGCCTTTGGGGCTATTAATATAAAGAATGCTAAATCAGTGGTTTCACCTGAACAGGATCAGGTCTATGCTGAACCTGGAGATGTCATAATACTTTTCCTCCTGTTGGAGCCAATGAGAGAGAAGTAATATAAAAAAACCAACTCCATCTTTCATTCTGGCTCAAAAAGCCAGTTGGGCTTTATTCTGGGCTGAGTAACAAAAACAAGTTCCCCTCCCACTCCATTGGATTTACATAGCCTGTGCATTACCCCAATTATTGAAATTAGTTCTAACTGGGGTAGGGCAGAGAGAAAGAAAGATACAGACCCTTCTAAATTAATACTTCTACATTTGTTTTAATTTTCAACACTGGGCTAACTGTATATGGACACATATAAAAGTGGAGGTGGTCCAAAGCCATTTTCCAATGGAGTATTCACTATAATTACTATAATTATAATGTAATTATAATATTATGTACTGTGTTTGTACAGAGATACACAAACTTACCTGCACTTTTTAATTCTTAAAATTCAGTTTTTAATTTCATAAAACCGAAATATCTCTCTCATATTTTGAAATAATTGTTCTGTGCTGCATAAACTTTAAAGAGAGCCCTGTGTTGTTTGCTTTAGCACTGACAACTCTATCCAAGTACTGCAGTGTCACTGATTCACAAACTGAGCTCCCATAGGCTTACTACAAGTTATCACGTATAAGTGATCAACAAAGAATTGATTTCATGATCTACATTGCATAAACCAAAAAAAAATCAGAAACATAGCAACTGATTGACCAATTTTTGTAGGGTAAACTTAACTTTCTTCTCCTTCATCTATCTGTGGGTTTCAGAGTACAGGTAGGATACAATTATTCTAATATATCCATTACTGAAATGAATAAGAAAACTATTCTATGTTTGTACAGAAACCACTGTATGCCCAGAAATCTTTAAATCCATCACACAGAGGCTGGATTCCCACATTATACCAAAAAAGGGAAATATCACAATATTTATTAATGTGTATATACATGCACATCACTTTATTCTCTTTCAGGCTAAGCAATGTTTTGCAATTGAGTAAGAAATAGTAAGCTACACAAGTTAAAGGCAAGAGATAAGAAAAGAAAATACAGCTATACCTAATTTATACCAACACAGTATTGTTCCATACCTCTATGCTTGTAATACATCCTTGCTTCTACTACCTCCATGCACTGTTTCATTGTCTTTTGTTCTTTAAATGTATTTATTTATATATGAGGCTTTTATATTGCTTTGTTTGTAACTGTCTCTAAGGTTCTGACCTCCTTCTTTTTATGACTCTCATCAACTCCACCCAAATGTTTCAGTCTGCCCCTTCCTCTCAACCAATCCGTTCTTTCTTCATAGTTGCCTTGCAACATCAACCCCATTCATTCTTTCCTTATGCCTAAACAATTTCCACATATTTTGTATTCAACCCACATTCACTCAGCATGCCTTCATTCTTGATCCTACTTCTTGTTTTACTACACACAATCTTAAGTAACTCATTCATAGTGCAACTAATATTGGTGAAATACCCAACTCTCACTTCTATATAACAAAGGGAACAAAAATGCATGCTTCTATATGGCTAATTTTGCTTCTTTCACCAAAGACTCATTCTTCACAACAGATCATATGCTACCTACTACCTTCCTACTAGCATTGCATGTCTTAAAATTTTACAATCCATTCTTCATCTTTAATAAACATTCTACCCAAGTATATAACTTTATCTTGCTCTAGTTTTTATTCATTTATATGTAACTGGTAATCATTCAATCAATCATTTTGTCTATTGAACACAGCTAACTTTGTCTTTGATGCATTCATTTTCAGATCCATTCTTCTCATTGCATCATATAACCTATCTAACATCCATTTTATATCATTCAGGTTCTTTGCAAACAACATGGCACTGTCTACATACAACAGTGCACACAAGTTGAAATCTGTAAGCAACATACCTCTAATGCCAACACAAGCATTCCTTATACATTTATCCATCAATACATTAAACAACTACAAGGTCATCACATGTCCTTGCTTTATTCTCTTCTCAATGTTGAAACATTTGTTAAGCACTCCATTTATTCTCACTCATTCTTTACTTCCACCATATACCACTTTTACCATATTCAGCAGCCAATATTCAAATCCATATGTTTGCAAAATATTTCATAATCCAAGCCTGTTCACTTTATCATACATTTCCTCTAAATCAGTAAGTATATAAACAATGTAAGTTAGTTTATCAAATCTCACATCAGTTTAGAAAGTAAGAAAGTAGTGTATTGGCAGAAACATCAATAAAATGGGGCCAACTATGTCCCAAATCTCATTATAGGAGGTGAACTCTTCATCTTTCCTACACTGTATGGTGATAATTTGAAATCCACAGACTCATTCTCAACAGTTTGCTATGGACTAAAAGATATATTCTGATTTATAATTTGAAAACATAGCTATTACAATAAGGCTTGAATTTAATCAAATTCAGTTGCACACATTTTTGATGCCTTATTGAAAATGTGGAACTTCTTTAAGTGACTTATTTCCACAGGGATCAACAGTGCAGAGATTTCAAAGGAGCCATCCTACAGGGAGTTGCTGATTAAGTCATCCTTAAACTGTCCATATTCTTGTGATGCTGATAGGAGAGATGCAGAGAGCTGGCTGTTATGCACCAGTTCTATTTTTAATCTGCATTGAAGCCATCAATCTGTTAGTTACAATGATTAATTTATCTTTCACCTTTCCCTGATTTTCATCAAAGAAGATTTTCAATTAGGGCATTTTGAATCCTTCAAATTATTGATTCAGAACTCCTGTCATGATGGCTTTTGCATCTGCAGTCACTGAAGCTGCAAACCACAAATACAGAGAGCATTTTGACTGTTTGTGAAGGATGGGCTAAAGCTAATTTTTACAGACTGAAGTGAAAATTCTGTTCTTAAAGCCTCCACATTCTCACTGTTCAGCACTGCCAATCAGCCTTTTGTCTGGTTTTCTATTAATTTCTTAAAGGACTACAATCACTGGACAAAACACTTCCAAAAATCTGGTCTAACATCCAATGCCCATCCTTTAATACCAAATTGAAACCATCTAATTTCTCCCCAAACTATTATACTAGCTCATAAAAAAGAAATACTTCTAAAATACAAATGAAGCAAACTATATCATCATCATCACCATCATCATCATCGTCATCATCATATTCATCCTTTATTTTATGCAACTCAAGTAATGCTCCATCTCCTATTTTCTCCACAAAAACAACCCTATAAGGTGAGTTGGGCTTGAAGAGAGTGACTGGCCCAAAGTCACCCAGCCAGCTTTCATATCATGCCAGTGCTCACAGTCTCCTGATCACTTTAGCCACTACACATTCTGCTTGTGTTAAGGGTTTTCTTAATACTAATTTGTCACTAGTTAGTTAGTTGTGCATTTATCCTGGGTTAGATAAAAGCAGTTCAGGACTCAACTTATTGTAAGGTACTGTACTGCTGTTGTGTGATAGAAGTAAATAAATTTTCTTGTACAGCAAGTCCATCAATGGCATTCTGTTCAGCGGCCAACGGGATTGTGTCTCATTTTAGTAAAAGTTTGGAGTGATTGGATGTTATTTATCCATCAAGAGCTATTTACATGGTATTAAAATCAACTTATTCCTTCCTAGTGTTTATTTATTAGAGAACATTAGAAATGGTGAATTGCTTATCATTTTTAGAAATCCAGATGGATTTACATTTCTGAGTTCTTTTAAATCTCTTATGAGCAATTATTACATACTTTTCTTCTCTGAATTTTCCATCTTCCCCTGTGACCTTTAATACGCATCAGAACATAGTGTTTGACATTTCT